CTCATGTAGCTGGAGGAGCTGATGAACCCAAGATCGTTAGGTAAGAGAGAAGGCTGCTGGCTCACAGGCTGTGGAGGCCAACGAATCTCAAGATCAGCAGGCAATATGGCAGGCTGCTGGCTCAAGTCCCAAGAACTGGAGGTCAGATAATAACAAGCTAGATGCAGGATCCAGAGTGAGCAAAAAGCCAGCAAGCTTTGCCAGAACGTACATCTGTATTAGATGCAGGCCACACCCCTGAGGAGACTCCCCTTACAACTGATTGGCTGATCATATCATGGAGGTGATTACATTATATCAGAAAATGGAGGATAACTACATCATTACATAACTGCCAGATTACATCATTACATAACTGACAAACCACTGAGAATCATGGCCCAGCCAAGCTGACACACAATCTTAACCATCATAGTTATTAAAATTTTTTCATAATGTGCTCTCTGCTGTTACATCTCTTTTCTGTGTTTCATCTAAAACTTTCTCCAGAGCCTCTTTGTTGCTCCCAGGGGCCTTTTCACCTACTGCCTAGAGGAAGGTCACTTAATGGCTGATGTTCACTCATCTCTCTTGTGTTGTCCTCTATTATGGGGATCAAAAAGTAAAATGAATTCATTTCCCAGCCTCCTCAGCAGTCAGGAATGGCCATGTGAGCCCTTTCTGTCCCAGAGAGGTAGGCATAAATCCAATAGGGAGGGCTCTTCTTGTTTATTTTTGCTCTGCCCTGTTCTTCCTGCCTAAATATGCTCAGGAAGCCTAGAAGTGCAGTGGCCACCCTGCAACCAGAAGGATGAAAGGGTCATGCTAAGACTGATAGAAGGAGCCTGGTTTACCGAGGATTCCCTGACCAGCTACACCAGTCCTGGACTTCTTTTTATATTAGAAATTAATTTAGCTGCTGTGTGTCAGGGTTTCTATTACTTGCTGCCAAACACGCACACCTGGATTAGCCAGGTCAGTAAGGCATGTCTAATGGAGATGAATGAAGAAAGACCTGTGAGGAAGGGTAGGACCCTTGAACCCTGGGCATCCAAACCATCGGAAGCCCCAAGTACTTTCCTCGGAAGCTTCAACTACCTTGGTGTTGGTGATTGCTGCCATCCAGTGGAAATGCTGTGGAAATAAACATTAGTTTTCCTTTAATCTTTCTTCTTTCCTTCTATCATTCATTTTAACATTTGTTCATTCTACAAATATTTTATGATGACCTGCTATGTGTGGTAGTCAGTAAAAATACAATAATAAGAGCGAGTTCTGGTTCTTTACCCCTTAAGCTTTGTATGCTTGGGGGAAGACAGCCATTAATCAATTAATCAAAAATGAAAAAGTATGACTGGAAAGTGCTATAAGGGAAGAGTATGGTGCTGTACACTGGTTGGCCTGAGCTCTGAAGGATAAGCTGGAATAATCAGGTTAGGAGGGAAGTTTTCTGGGCAGTGAGAACAGTTGTGATAATGAGATCTAGACACCAAACAGGAAAAATATGGTAGACAGGTTTACCTGTAGGAAGAAGCATGTAGTCTATACTACATTATTTTAATTATCCAAGGTGTTGGACTGACTTTGAAACAGAAGGAAACTTCCTAGGGAAAGAACAATTTGTATGCTATGGCTTCTCCCATCATCCCCACTGCAAATAATAAACTAAGGGGAGTTTCCATTTGTGTGGGACAGAAAACAATTTCCTTACTGCATCATAGCTTTTCTGTAGACTTTTCCAACATATAAAAATAACATTTGTTCATTATATACACACTGTAACTATTGAAAAGTATACAAAAGAAAATTTGAATCACCTATAATTGCACAATATACAGGAAATTGCCCACATTTTAGAGAATACCCTAGTAAACTAGGCTTATATACATAAATAAATAAGTCTATTCTGACTCATTCTGACTTATAGGGTCACTATGAGTCAGAATTGACTTGATGGCAATGGGATTATAAGGCATAATGATATATTTTGCAATTTAATACTGCATAAAGTAATCTCCAGTATCATTTAAAAATTTCTTGTGATTGTCATTTTAATAATTGTAAAATATTCCATCTACGGGATATACCATAATTCGTCTAACCATTCACCTATAGGTTTAAGTAAAACAGCAAGGACAATTTTAGTTTTACCCACCTTAGTCTGAATTTCTGATCATTTCTACACTCCTGGAAATGGGTTACTGCTTGATTGGGTTTGAGGCTCTTCATGTTTCTTGATGCTGGAAGCCGTCATTCTCCCTGCTGAGAATTTGCATTTCTAACAAGTTCCCAGGTGATGCTAATGCTGCTGGTTAGGGACCAATTCTGAGAACCACTAGTAGTGCAAACCAAACCAAACCTGTTGCTGCCCAGTCCATTCCAACTTATAGTGACCCTATAGGACAGAGTAGAACTGCCCCATGAGGTTTCCAAGAAGCACCTGGTGAATACAAACTGCTGACCTTTTGGTTAGCAGCCACAGCTCTTTACCACTAAGCCACCAGAGTTTCCACTAGCAGTCGTTCTCAAAACTTATGGCATATAAGAATTGCCTGAAGATCTTGTTAAAATGTAGATTCTGATTCACTATATCTGGGGTGGAAATGCAAATTCTCAGCAGGGGTTCAAATCTCTGGCCTGGAGGTTGTTGAGGGTGGGGCCCAGTTCTCTCTCAGGCTGAGATTTAGAAGCCAGATTATGCATAACCTGGTACACAAAGCAAAGGAACTTATTCTGTGAACAATGAGTAGTTTATTCTATGAACAACGAGTAGGTAGGAAGGGTTTTTCAGTAGGAGAGGAATGTGATCAGAAACTATGTTTTGAAAACTCTCATCTTGGTTGGTATGTGGAGAATAAAAAAGAACATAAGGGTCATAGTGGATAGGTAAGTGAGGGGGTGGCTGTGGTAATATACGTGCTAGAAGGTGGCTGAAGGAATCAAGAGAGGTCAACTCACTTGGTATATACTTTGGAGGTGGAGCCCATGGCAGCTGACTGTCAAATAACTATACAGAATTCAGGAAAAGAGTGGGGGAGGGTGATCAAATATAATTTCAAACTGTGTGCTTGAGCAAATGGGTGGATGGTGGGTAGTTTGGTACAATTATATACATGGAAGTGTGGCAAAAAGAAATCTGTTTTAGACATATAAACTATGAGTTGGCCATTAGACACCCAGTTGAAATATCAAAGGCACAAATGGCACCAAGAGTTGGAATACCAGTGTGAAAGTCTGGGTGAGAGAGATGAATTTGGGAATATCATCTAGGGTGAAGGGTCAAGGAAGAGATCATCAAAAATGGACAAATGGCAGCATGTTTATCTATTGGTGGGAATGATCCAGGAGAGAGAGAGAGAGAGAACCTCAAAGTGCAGGACACAGAGGGAATTACTGAAAAACAGAAGTCCTTAGGGAACTCTTGAGGGATAGTATAAAACACGTCCCAGAGTTATTCTGGCTAAGGTGTGTGGGAGCTGGGATATTTATTCACCAACTTCCATCAGTCACTGGTTGAGGGCTGCTCTCTGGAGAGTGAGGGTGGGCATTAATTCCCCATCATTTCTGGCAGGCCAAATTGGCTATGCCAATTCTGGTGGTTAGAGAAAGCCATCAGGCTAAGATTTTCAAGTGCTTGTTGTTAGAAAATGGGGCACTTGTACTCTGTCCTGTAAGGTCGCTTTGAGTTGTCATGCACTCGATGGCAACTTTGGTTTTGTAGTTAGAAGCCATTGGTTGGTACATAAGGGAATGGTGAATCCTGAAGGTATATGGAACACCAGAGTCTTCTACACTAGTCCTGCTAGATGCTTTCTCCATGGAATCTGAGTCTTAAAGACAAAACGGGGTGGGGAGGAAAGAAAAGAAAAACAAGTCTGAGAGGTGTCAAGAAACCTGAGTCATAAACATAAGTCTTGTACCCCCCGACAGAACCCAAAACCAAACCTGCATTCTGATTCATAGCACCCTATAGGATAGAGTAGAACTGCCCCATAGGGTTTCCAACGAGCGGCTGGTGGACTGGAACTGCCGACCTTTTGGTTAGCAGCCGAGCTCTTAACCACTGTGCCACCAGGGCTCCACCTCCCATATAGAGGGAGCTGAAAAAAATAATTGGAGACTTCAATTAAGGTTAATTTCCCTGGGTCTCAATACCCTCATCTATAGAATAGTGGGGGGAGAGGAGAGTAAACAGAAGGGATGGGACTTCTTTCCAACTCTTATTTTCAATTATTTGAATTTATCTGTAGGGGAATTCCCTTTGTCCTCATTTAAAAAACCAAAAGCCAAACCCCTTGCTGCCGAATCGATTCCGACTTATCAACAGGTATTTAGAATCTGCCATCTAACGATTTCAACGTGTTACATTACAATATACTTAAAAAAAATCTTTTTCTAGTAGCTACTTTTTTACTAGTCACTGTGCAAAGGCATTGTATATATTTCTCTAATCACCGTAGCAATCCTCTGAAGAAGTAATTCCCATTTCATAGGTGAAGAGTCAGGTCCTGAGAGCTATGACGTGTACGGGAACTCAGATCCTTCTGGCTTCCAAACACTTGTTTCTTAAACCGCAGGACAGTGAGATGGTGATGATATCTCTGCGATTCAAGGCAATGAGGAGGCTCTGTCGGATTCTTCACTCTCAGTAAATGCGGTGGCTGCTGATGCTGACGTGAGAGTATAGCATGAGACTATGGGAAGCATTTCTTCAAATCCAGCCCGTCGTTTCAGGTTCATTTTTATCTTTGGATTCGTGAGCAGCATCGAAGAGTGTGCATAACAGTTCTGGAGAGTATCGACTAAACTGAAGTCTTTTAGACCATAGAATTCCTTTGTATTATTAATTTCCTCTCAGGCTGAAGCAAGCAATGGTCCACCACAATAAAGATGGCGGCAGACGCTTCACCACGGCAACGGCGACGCCGCTCGCACCAGTCGCGTCAGTTCTATTTAGTTCCGGCGGGTTAGTTTCACGTTACCTCCCGCCCCACTGCGGTGGTTTGCGGTCCTGTGCTGCAGCCGTGGGTGTACGGAAGGAGGTGACTAAAGGGAGTCCTGCCCGCCGAGGGAACCGGAGAAAATGTGAGCGTTAGCAACATGGAGCTGGAAGGTAGGAAGCCCGGGGCTGTTGTCGCAGTTGTGACTGAGCCTTGCTTTACCCAGCAATACAGGGTCTATCTCGAGAAGCAGCAACTCTTGGATAGACGGCATCGTGTGGAAAAGATGCCAGATGGCACTGTGGCGCTCCCTGTGCTGGGAAAGACCCTCCCGGACCAGCACCTGAAGGAGCTGAGGACTCGCGTGGCCCCAGGCAGCACCTGTATGCTGACGCAGCTCCTTCACCCTGTACCTTCAAAGGCGGCGCAGGGTTGTTCACCAGCCCAAAGGCTACGTCTGGAGGTGAGTCGCTGGGTAGAGGGCCGGGGAGTCACGTGGTCAGCTGAGTTGGAGGCTGATTTGCCCAAATCTTGGAAACGGCATGGTAACCTGTTGTTGCTGAGTGAGGACTGCTTCCAAGCCAAGCAATGGAAAAGTCTAGAACCAGAACTCTGGGAGACTGTTGCCGCGGCACTTGGCGTCCAGCGTTTAGCCAGACGAGGGCGAGTATCACCGGATGGCACTCGAACTCCAGCAGTGACTTTACTGCTGGGCGACCATGGCTGGGTAGAGCACGTGGATAATGGAATCCGATATAAATTTGATGTGACCCAGTGCATGTTCTCCTTCGGAAACATCACCGAGAAGCTGCGAGTGGCATCACTGTCCTGTGCTGGGGAAGTGCTGGTGGATCTTTATGCAGGCATTGGTTATTTCACACTGCCATTTCTCGTTCATGCTGGTGCTGCCTTCGTCCACGCCTGTGAGTGGAACCCCCATGCTGTAGTTGCTCTTAGAACAAACCTTGAGATCAATGGAGTAGCAGATCGATGCCAGATACACTTTGGGGATAACAGGAAGCTGAAGCTTTCCAACATCGCGGACAGAGTGAACCTGGGGCTGATTCCTAGCTCTGAAGAAGGTTGGCTCGTTGCCTGCCAAGTGCTACGACAGGATGCAGGGGGCATTTTGCATATCCACCAAAATGTGGAATCTTTCCCTGGAAAGAATATCCAGCCTCCTGGAAGCAGTGGAATGGAGGAGGAGCGATGGCCTTATCCTCAGCAAATTATCAGCAAGCAAGGGAAAAATAGAACTACCAGGGATTCTGGAGGGGAAATGCTGGCAGGTGCCCCCAAGCCAGAGTGGAAAAAGTGGGCAGAATCTGCAGAAACACGCATTGCTGCACTTCTTGAGCAAGTGCATGGGAAACCGTGGAAGACACAAATCCTGCACATCCAGCCAGTGAAATCCTATGCCCCCCATGTGGATCACATAGTCCTGGATCTGAAATGCTGCCCCTGTCCTCTCGTTGGTTAGAGGAGATGGGTCCTGCGACACGAGGGATCTGCATGTGAGTAACCCTCAGTGCATCAGCTCAGGTGGGTTCTCACCCCTGTCTCTTGGTGATCCATTTGAACATTTCTGTGGCCCTGAAAGACTGATTGTAATCTTTTTCATCTGTCTTCCACTGATCACATTGAGAATGAGCTACGTATCTGGGAGAAGCAACATGGCTCATTGAAATGAGGCCCAACTGTGCAATCATGAATTCCTAATTCTCACCTCAGTTCTCTCTGGCTTTGGGGACCTGGTTTTAATATTCTTTTGGCCTTGGATTTCCTCATTTGCAGAGTGAGGGTTGCTTTGAACTGTCTCCTGTCTGTTAGCTAATGAACAGGTGTACACAGGGCATCACTTATTTTGGAGTGAAAGACGCAGTGCTGTGTCCAAAAGATCACGCTGGCTGCAGTGTGGAGAATAAACTGGAGGGAGGCCAGGCTGGAAGCAAGGAGACCGATGAGGCTTCTTTGGTTGTCTAGGCATGAGGTGATGGTGACTTGGACTAGAGTGGTGGCGGTGGGAGGAGGAGAGAGTTGAGAAACATATGAGAAATAAAATTCATAGAACTAAGCAGTAGAATCCAAATAAAGGCACTATAACTGTGCTGCTGTCTTTTCATGGCTAAATCAGGGAGGTAAGAGGACAAAAACTAGTCGTGTATTAAGCCCATTTCCCTACTTTAGCATTAGTTCCTGGGTGGCACAGATGGTTAAGCGCTCAACTACTAACAGAAAGGCTGGAAGTTCCAACCCACCCAGAGGTGACAGAAGCAGAGGCATATCTAAGGCATGGCAGGTGTGTCACGTACCCTGGGTGCACTTGAAACTCCTCTCCCCCCCATTAACCTGGTATGGCCCAGCGTCCTTCCTCAAGCACAGTAGACACAGAGCCATGGGCGGGGGGGGCGCAGAGGGGGCCACTTGCAAGTCCGAGGGGGTGCCAGACAAGGCACGGAATGACATTCTTGGGTGCCACAAATATGAAAGGCGCCTGACTGAAGCAGGTGGACAAGAGGGGGAAGACGTCACTGCTATTAGTGTGTATTCCTCTTGAAATTGGGGGTGCAAGCAACTTAGAGATTGCCCCTGGGCACTCGAACTGAAAGGGACGGTGCAACTTAAGAGACTTGTTAAGTGGCTGCAGGGGCAGAATGTCAGTGCTTGCCATAGGCGCTATTTTCTGTAGATACGCCTCTTCTTGGAAGATGGGCCTGGTGATCTGCTTCCAAAAGGTCAGAGCCTTGAAAACCCTATGGAGCACAGTTCTACTCTGCACACGTGGGGTCACGATGAGTTGGAACCACTCAACAGCAACCAACAACAAATAAGTGTTAGGAGGATGTCTTATATATCAAGGTTCTGTGGTAGAAGAAGGGTAAAGAATCACTACCCTAAATCATAGGAAAACTAGATCTCCCTATCCCCCCCAAGCTTGTGCAATTGCTGCCAATCGCGAGCTGTTAATAAAGTCCTAATTAAAATCTTAAGTTTTGACGGGCCTCAAACTTCCTTTTCATTTCCCTTCCCTGGCTGACAGCATTAGGTACAACATAGGGAGCTATAGGGAATGGGAGATCTTTTGCAGTGTTTTAAGACAGTGTATTATACGGCTGGCTGCCACCACCATGGCTTGCCATCAGGAGGACTAATTGTTGAGGCTCACTTAGAGCTTTGTTTTGGTGCATTCTGAAGCCAGTTGGACGTTTGCTTGATAAAGGAAATAGAGAAAAGTGTGGCTTTATCAGCACGGCACCTGGCATTTGGCTGCCTGGGGTTGGTCAGGGCTGCCAGTTCTTCTTTAGCAGCAGTGGCAGTAAGGACAGGGTTGGTGGTGTTTGTGTCATCCAGCAAATATTAAGTGCTTACTATATACAGGAGCTGCAGGGAATATAAAGATACATTAGATACAGTCAGTGTCTCTGAGGAGCTTACTACCTAGCAGCAGAAAATAGCACGAGTACTCAAAATAATTGCAAAACAGTAAATGCCACGTGAGTGACAGCCATGTAGCAGTGCAAAGGGAGGGAAAAATAGTTCTGAGGATTGGACAGGGAAGTCTTCAGAGAGGTGATGTTTGACTTGGCTCTTGAAAACTGGGTAAGATTTTTTTTTAATGTTATAAAAATATATGTAACACAAGATTTGTCCGTTCAACATTTTTCACATTCAAGATTGATTCAGTGACACCAAACAGACGCTAGTTGAATAGAATAATAAGTGCAAAAGTTTGAATGCTGAGAAAATGGGGCATTGTCATTAGGTCAACTTGAAAGCAGTGAGAAGTGACGATGAAGGTTGTTGTGAGGATCAAAAAGAGGTGTCTTGTACACAGTAAGCCCCCAATAAATGTTAGCTGTCATGTGATCCACCACAGAAGCGGACTTGTTTGTTTCCATTCCTGTCTCAGAGTGGCCTTCCTGTGTTTGCCTTAATCATGTCCCCTTTTACAAATGGATTTCTTCCCGGTCTTTGAACTGGTTCAGTCATGGCTGACAAAGTGAAATTGGAACAGACCCGAATTTTTAAAATTTGGGTGAACCAAAATGATAACTGGAATGGGAAAAATTACAGGTCAAAGCCCTGGAATGGGAGACTCAGCAGAGGTGTAGTGAGCCCTTTTAGGAGCCTGATGCGTGAGATGGCTTCTTGGTAGGATGGTGGAGAGCGACACACATTCAGAGTGGCAAGGTTGGCCTCCATCTTTGACCTGGGCAGGTGTAATTTTTCCTGTTCCAGTTAAGGTTCCGGTTCACCCACATTTAAAAAATTTGAGTCTGTTCCAGTTTCACTTCCTCGGCCATGACTGAACTGGGAAGAACCGGTTTGAAGCCCTGGTTTCTTCTCACTTGTGTGTCCACACCTCTGTCTCCTCAAACCAAAGTGTTAAAGACGCCAAGCTGTGGCTGGAGCGCACGTAGGGAGGAAGGCAGACGAGAAACAACAAGGAAGATGAGTCGGGGAGCCACGTGTCTTTGGCAGTTGCCTCCCTGCCATAGCTGTGGACAGGAAGCTGATGTCACGGGCACCCTGATGAATTCATTCAACCAACAGTTGTTGAATTCTAGCTGTATATATCAGTCCGTGAGTGTACAGTGGTAAAGATTAACATGGGCTCTGCCGTCATAGAATTTAGGTTATACTTGATTTAATTCCTAGCTTCTCTATTTTCTGTGTGACCTGTGGCAAGTCATGAATCAAGATTGAGTTTCTTTATCTGTACATTGGAGATAACCGTCGTACATATCCTATAGGGTAGATGTTAGGCTTAAATGTGTTAACACATGTAAAGCTGTCATCACAGTGACTGGCATAAAATGAATACTTCTTTCATTCATTCAGTTTTTGCATAAGGTGAATTGCCATCTCCCAGTTTACCTGTAGGGGATTGTTACGCATCTGGTATACTTAAAGCAGACTGTCCTTATTTTGAAAAGCCATTCACTGATTAATGAGGATGCTGTGTACTCTCGTCAGGCACTGTGCTGGGGCCCAGGGACATAGAGGAGAATAAAGCTGAGTCCTGCCCTCAATGGTATCACTGTCTGGTGATGTGGACACAGAGGAAACAATGTCAATACTGTGTACTAAGTGCTGAGATAGAAATCAGCAGGGGTATTTATGGGCACACATAGGGGAGGTCCAGTTTGAGGATCTGGGGTGGGGAGGTGGGAGCAGGGATGCCTGAGTGGAGGAGTTAGGTGTGAATGGAAGGAAGTAAGCGTCCCTTAAGCCTTTCTTTTACTCAAGTGTATTCATTTACATTGCAGTTTTCTCAGAGGACTTGCTGGAGAATAGATTGGCCTGGTTAAGAAAAGGCATCTAATGGAAGCAAGCAAGAGAGACTGGAGGGTTCAGGAGGCTCACGGAGTCCTTGTCACCTCAATCCAGGAATTTGAAAAAGCCCTAAAGGCTTCCTTTCTGAGCTTCAGTACTGGTTGCCAGTTTAATGCTCCCACTTTATGGACATGTGATTAAAAAAAAATTTTTGTTTCAGAACTTCCTCAACCTCGAGCTGTTCTATTTATTAATGCCATAATTCAAATAAATTATGTGCACACACTACTACATAACTATACTGTGTACATTTTAAATACATAAACATAGAAAATGATGTTTAACATTTTAACATAAAAATGATGAGAAACGAATAGGAAATTCATCTCCTCCTACTCGGGCATGCAAATGAGAGAAAAAAAATGTCATTCTCAACAGCCTCGGGGTGTAGCCACTTCACATTGGGCAGACTGTAAAACTCATCGTTTTCAAACTAAAGCTGGGTTTTAAGTGATTGTAACTATTCAAATGTTTAAAAAACTAATAAAAAACCAGCCCAGCTCATACATTGCTGGTGGGACTGTAGAAGGGTACAGCCACTTTGGAAAACAGTTTGGTAGTTCCTCAAAATATTTCAGATAGTTCCTGTATGACTCAGCAGTTCCATTCCTAGGTACAGGTTTCCCCTGCTATCCGAAAATAGAGCGTTCCTATGAAACCTTTGTAAGCCAAAATGGCGTCAAGCGAACAATTATCATTAATTTGTATGGGAGAAATTTTTGAGCATTCCCAGGCCCAAAAAATAACCTACCAAATAACACATAAAACCTAAAATAATACTAAAATATACTAAAAGCAGGAATGATATGCTTACAGACACAGGTCAAAGCTATGGCGGCCTGATGCTGAGTGTAGTTCCCGGGGAAGGAACTTGGCGACACCACTCTAGCTGCTCAGGTGCATGCTGCTCTTTAATGGCTCACTGCAATTTTCGCTTTTCGAAGAAGTGAAAATCCACGTTGGATTCGGTTAGTGAAAACAGGTACTAATGTAGGTCTTTTGTAAAAGCAAAGTGGCATAAAGCGAACTTTTGAAAAGCAGGGTATACCTGTATAAACTTAACAGCAATGAAAACATACATTTACATTAAAACTTGTACATGAATGTTCATAGCAGCATTATTGATAATAGCCAGAAAGTAGAAGCAACCCAAAACTTCAACAGATGAATGAATAAACAAAATGCGGTATATCCATACAATGGAATATTCAGCCATAAAAATGCTTAATGAAGTGCTGAAACGTGCTACAAAGTGGATGAACCTCAAAACCATATACTAAGTGAAAGAAGCCAGACACAAAAGGCCACATAATATGATTTCATTTATACAAAATATTCAGACTAGGTCAATCCAGATTAAGGTTTTGCAGAATGCAGATTATAGTTGTTGGGGCTGGAGGGAGAAGAGAATGGAGAGCACCTGCTAAATGGGTAAATTTTTCCTTTTGGAGTGATGAAAATGTTTTGGACGCTGTGTCACTGAGTTATTTACTTTAAAACGGTTAATTTTACGTAAATTACACCTCAGTAAGAAGTTCTTCAAAAAGAAAAAAAAATAAAACTGGGCCTTCTGGTGTTCTGAGTAGACTGTACAAGAGCTTTTATCCTGGAGTCTGACCTTCATTTCAAGTCAAATCTCCATGTTCTGTTTAACATAGAATCACGGAATTTTAGAGCGTGAAAAGGCCCACTTTCTCTTCCTTAGCTGGGCACCATTGTTCCCTGGCCCCCACAGCTTAGATGAATCTTCCCGCTGTTTAGTAGCCCTTTGCATGAATAAAACCTATAGATCTTTATTTTTTATTTTAAAACATTCCAACAGTTTTGCTCACAATTGTACATGGCTTTTAAAAATGCAAATAATGCAGGTAAGTAATGATAGGAAATAACATTTCTCTGCCCTATTCCCCACTTCCCATGGCAACCTCACAAGATAAGTGCTATTCACAGTTACAGTTTGGAGTTCATTTTTCGATTCCTTCTCTCTCAGCCCAAATGTATTTTCATGTTGTGATTATACTATTACACATACAATACATATTGTTTGCTTATTTTTTTAATTTTGGACTATATTATAGGACAACTTTCATGATCCATACTACAGATCTTCATAATTCTTTTTACTCCCAGCATAATATTCCATTCCAAAAAAAAAAAAAACCAAACCTGTTGTCGATTCCGACTCATCACGACCCTATAAGACAGAGTAGAAGTACCGCGAAGGGTTTCCAAGGAGCGGCTGGTGGATTCAAACTGCCGACCTTTTGGTTAGCAGTCGAACTCTTAACCACTGCACATTATATGGATATATATGATAATTTATTCAATTATTCTCTTGTTTTTAGTGTTTATTTCAAATAGAATACTCAAAACTTTTCCTATTCCCGTTGTAAGAATGTAAAATAAATACTATGAAATTGATTCTGCTAGGACAGAGGGGATGCACATTTTCAATTTAATATATATGGACAAATTGTCCTCAAAATTAAATTAATTTTTTTAAAAAGTGGATTACTTTCAATTTTGCTCCTAGGTATTAGACATCTTTATAATCTTTGGCAATCTGTTAGTCTAAATATACTGTATTATTACGTTAGTTCTTAATGAATTACACCACCTACTCAAAGGTTTATAAATCTAAGTATTTGTTTTCATGTATTTTGCTCAAACTTGTCTTTTACCAAAATTTTTATTTTAAAAAAAAAACTTTTTACATTTATCTCAGCATCAATACTGAGACAATAATAATTATAAGTCCAATTCCCAGACAAAGCAGGTGGTAACAGTTTGGTGTAACTTGTCTATCTTAAATATTTATATATTTAAAAAATTAATGGAATATGGTATATCAAAGACAAAAACGGGAGAAGTGTGATGGGAAAAGTTTGTTAAGTAGATGGTGGTGACCGTTGCACTACGTTCTGAAGTAATTAATGTTAATAGACTACACTTAAAATGGTTAAAATGCCTATTTTTATGTTATGTATATTTTAAACACAATAAAATTTTATTAAAACTAGACAACTAAGGAGACTGATTTTTTTTTCATTGCATATCTTTTTGTTCTTTTTGAAATTTGAACCATGTGAATATAATAACTACTCGGGTTTTGTTTTATGGAAACTACAGTGGCTTAAACTAACAGTATGGTTAGAGAAACCAGGAAACAATTAGTTTTAAATTAAATGTTTCCAACTGTTACAAGAAGAGAAAAATATTTGGTGGTAGTCAAGGATAACTCCACCTGGAGTGCTAATTGGAGGTCTATAAGAAGGACCTAATGGTTGGAGTTCGTTTCCTTGATTGAAGTTCCTCTGCCTTTCAGAGTACCATAGAAACAATGCGATATAGTAGGAAGAGCATGAGTTTGGGGATCAGGCAGAAATAAATTCAAATCCCAGCCTTTCCCTACAATGGCCTTATAACCTTGGGTAATTTGTTTAACTTTTTCTGAAGTTTCAACTTCCTCATTTGTACAATGCGTGGAATCTTAATAGGGTTATCATAAAGATTAAATGTACCATCCAAGCACTACAAATTTGTTGGTTTACTTTTCCTTCTTATATAGATGGGCTGAACTAAGGTGGATTGCCGTGCATAAATTAAGTCTTGAGAAAATGAAGGTTGCATGTGAAAGAACTGCCTGTAGCTGAAGTTCCTCTATGATTTGGTTTGTCAATCTCATATTTCTTATGAGGGATAAAGCCTCTTACTAGCTCAGAAGTTTTAAAAATCCCTGGACTAATAGTTTCTCTCTCTTTTTTCTCTTTTTCCTCTCCTGTCTAAAAGATGATCAGGAGAATGCTTTAAAACACGTTACAAATACACTCTTCATAATGTTCCCATTGGTTTTCTGTGCCAAAGTACATTTTTTTTTCTAATACTCAAGTTTAGCAAATATATTTTTAAAGGGGATTTTGCTCTCCACTACTTATTCAGCACTGGAAACACAGTGTATTTTTCTTTTAGCAGTAAATATTATCTTAAGATACAATATAGTATTTGTGTATTGGTTTTGTAATAAAAGATCGCCCACTAAAGCCCATTAACTTACTGATTTTTTTTATTTTATTGTGCTTTAGGTGAAAGTTTACAGAGCAAATTATTTTCTCATTAAAAAACAGATACACAAATTATTTCGTGACATTGGTTGCAATCCCCACAATGTGTCAGCTCTCTAAGAAGATTGATTTTATTCAGGCTGTTGCAATAGGGAGAACACCCAGATCTGAAGGAGGGCTTGGAACCAGAACAAACCCTTGCTGAGAATTCGCATTTCTAACAAGTTCCCAGGCTATGCTAATGCTGCTGGTTAGGGACCAATTCTGAGAACCTCTAGTAGAGCAGTGGTTCTCAAAATTTACTACACATAAGAATCAGCTGGAGATCTTGTTAAAATGTAGATTCTGACGCAGTATATCTGGGGTGGAAATGTAAATTCTCAGCAAGGGGTCGAACCAGAACCAACTGGTTGGACACTGGTATTTAGAAGTGCACCGATGAGATCAAACTTGTGATTTTGAAAGCTCATGCTTGTGGCAAAATGATAAATGAGTCCTAAAAAAGCCTCCGAAATCCCTGGTGAGACACTGGGATTCCACGCCCCCACCCCCCACCACCGTAGATTGAAGAAATTTGGGGAAAGATGTGAAGAATGGGATGAACTCAGGAGAAATTTTGTCTTCCAAGTCACATCAGGAAACACCCATGGGAGTGGAATCCCTTAAGAGGAAAAGATAGGTGCTGCTCTACCTTGTACAAGTTATCTTTCAGAAGCCATGGATGAAGCAAATAAAGAGGTATGCAAAAGACCTCGTCAAAAGGCAATTAAAAAATTCTAGGCTGGGACCCTAGCAACAGAGGCAGCAACTGCAGCCCCGGTGGACCTGGAGGATTCTCCATTCAACCAGGTAGGTGTGGGGTCCAATCTCAAATCTTTTGGGGGAGATGCGAATGTGATGCCAGCATAATGGATAGGAAATCCTTATAACTGAGCAGCTGGAGCACCGAAAGGAACCAATAGCCCAGGCTTAGTTGCAAATTCTCTTTTGTCCCATGGCCAGAAGGGAAACGTCTCTGCTGGCAGAATTCCTCCCTGCCTTTTGGCTGGCAAAGGTGCTGATCAATGGGCAGTGGAGCACAGGATACCTTTAGCCCTACTGACTACAAGAATTGTTTTGCTGCATTTAAAAGAAATAAGAAACTAAACCACCAGGCAGAAGGGGTAAGAACAAACCTCAGTTAAACAAAGAAGAGAAACCAAGCAAGTGACAAAGAAAACAGCTCAGGAACTTTGGATGTGCTCGGTGCTGGGGTTGTGGACCAAGCAGGCAATGTTGCCTCACTGCATCCAAGTGGAGGTTTAGCCATGGAACATCTGGGCGAGTAGGTCAGGCTGCTCTTTATGAATGTGGGTCCTGGGCTGAATACAGTGGAGTGCATACTCCCTAGCCCACAGCTGTGACCATTTTAGGAAATGGAGAGCAGCTGATTAGCACTCTGCTGGCCAGAAAGTGCACAGACTGCAAGCCCAGGATGCTCACCCAGCCCTGCTGGAGACATACCAGGTTCCTTGACTCATGTTTCCTGAGAAAGGTGTGCCACAGGAGTGATGGCTCTGAGGTCTGGCAAGTTTTCTGAGGCACACGATTCTCCACAGAAGCAGAGGTACATGGTGGAGTTTTTGTGGAGTCACAGAATGAAAAGCATGTATGTTGGATACATGCCAACAGGTCTTGGGAAAGCCCTGATTCAAGTTTCAAGACTTCCACCTGGAGCATGGGAGAGTGAATTATAAAAGGAAGTGGGGTTTGACGCTTGGAGAGTATGGTGATCACCACCTACAGCACTTAGCATTTTATAACCTGCAAAGTAGGGGTTCCAACAAATGTGTTGAATGTTTTGTCATCATAATGTCGTATTTTCTAATGCAAACACAGGCCCTTTAACTTAGATTCTTTGTCTTCCAAGTTATCTCAGGAAACACCTATAGGTTTATGACCTCATGCAGTTAACTATTATGCAAATTAAGACAAGGCCTGATCAAATCATCTACCTAAAATGTAAACGTTTACAAAAATAACTTTAGGCTCTGAGATCATAGTCCGATTTCTACTATGTAAGAGTATTCAGTAAGAATATAGACCATTAGAACAATCTAATAACTTTTGTCATTTCTGCTATATCTTCATTCCATCTATGCTATTTACTATTTTTCTTTAAAAATCACTTTTTTATCTTAAATTTTTCATAGTTTTAAAAGAAACATTATGTCATTACTAGTTAAACAAATGAGGTGTTTCCTGTCTTTCCCAAAGTCTCTCCATACTTTCAGCAACCCCCACAACATACACACACACTCTTGAAATTAAATGCATTTAATCTGGGGCAGAACTGGTGGTGGCTGGTGGAGGAGGGGTGCTTAGGAATTATTCCATTCACCATCCTCCCTGCTGCAGATTCCATTCTAGAGAACTGCATGGGCAGCCAGTGTTCTTCTTCCTGTGTCCAAATTGTACTGTATCTGAACAATATTGGGAAGAAACTTTTTGTATACATGCTTATACAATGACCTTTTCTAGAAGTCCCCAATTTTCTGTTGAGCTGTTAATTTTATTAATGTACAATAACTCTTTGTATATGAAAGATACTGGTCCTGTGTCAATTAATGAGTTAATTACAAACTTTTTTCTAGTTTCGTTTTTGTTTTTAATGTCTGTTTTTGTGGTTTTGTTTTACTTTTTTGTTTGGTGTGGGAAGCTGTAAAAAAGTGGTTGTTTTTATGTAGTCACTTTTATTTAGTCTTTTCTTTTTCTGAGTTTTTGTGATGTTTATATGATACAGTGAAATCTCTTGGCCAGTATAGGCATGGTCTTATATTCAGAAGAAATACTGCTCCAATTTTATAAAGCACTGAATACAAGGTTAAGTCATTCATAAATTAATTTTATGATTTGTTGAGCATTTTCTATGTGCCAAACATCGTTCTAGACACTGAGAAAACAGCAACAAATAAAGTCCCTCTCCTCAGACAAGTAAGTAGTGTTTCACATGGAGAAAAAGTGTAAGTGTGGAGGGGGATTGTTACTTTTTTATACAGTATAGTAAAGGAAGACCTGTCTAATAACC